GGAATGGTTTACCAAATTTGGAGACAAGGTGTGGTGCCAGCATCATAAAAACTGCAGACAAACCACCAGTTATTATTGAAAAAATATTGCGTTTTAAGAAACAAATTAAATATAATCTGTTTGCGGATTTCAAAACACGTAAAAATGACAAAATCTGACTACAGATAAGGGACGAACACTCCAGCAAAATACGCAGAACATAACACATTTTTTTCTTTCTTTTGAAAGTTATCGATTTTTTTTTAATAATATGAATGTCCAATAAATATACTTACGCATTGCACAAGAAAACACATTTCACTATTATATACACTTAAGAAGTTAGATATTCTTGTTCTCCTTTCTTTTGCAGAATCAAGTAAGTATTTTTTTTTATATCAATCAAACAGTATTTATTAAAAATTTACTTCGTAACAATTTAGAAATATTAGACAATAGTTTATTTGTTTCATATAAATGAAGTTAATGTATGTGTAGCTTAATTTAATAAGATTAAAAAAAATCTTATTAAAATGACATTAAATTACCATATAATTTGTTTTAAATATAGATGTATTTGTTCACCATTTTAATAAGAAAATTATGTTAAGAGTTTAAAATTTAAAATTTAAAATATCTTAATATTTGAGCATGTATGAATACCGTTCTTTTAGAGAATATGACTCCACTAATTTACAAAACTTCCTTTTATTTTATTTATACAATATATCATCAAATGATCCTTTTATAATATTTTTCCTGACCTAATATTTATTTTTTGTTCAACTCCTCTATTCTTTATTTTCTTTCTTTTTCAGATTTGTATTTTTACTTTCTTTTTTCAACTCCACCCAATCAATTTGTGATCAACCAGGTCAAGAAATTTCCATCGGCCATTTTTTTTGCCGTCTAAAAACTGTTATTTTTTATGTATTATATAAAATAAGTGAGTATATGCATGTTTATATGTATATATATATTATTTAATTTGAAAGAGAAGGAAGTGAGAAAGGGACGAGAGGTAAGTGGGAGAGAGAAGATTGATGAAGAGTGTTTCTTATTTCACTCGTCTGAAAGTTGATTTCTTTACATAACATGAAGGTCTATTTATAGACCAAGAGAAAACTTATAATAATAAAAGTAAGTCGGTAAGAGTAAATATCTAAAAGTATAAGACGGTGAAAAAGTGATGAGGATAATTATCCTTTTTAACACTCCCCCTTAATTATCCATCATCGTTAACGTATTACGTATTGCCTCGTTAAAAACCTTATCATGGAAAAACCCAATGGGATAAAAACCATGACAAGGAAAAAAGAGTACAATAACGTAATCTCCCCCTGGAATGATGGATATAACGTTTTCTCTTCATAAATCCCGCAAATGACGCATTCCGATACTTTGAATATGCTTTCTGAATATTGTAGTAGGAAGCGCCTTTGTAAAGAGATCCGCCGCATTTTCACATGAACGAACATACTGGATATCGACTTCTTGATTCTTCTCGAGCTCTTGAGTATAAGAGAAAAATCTTGGAGGAATATGTTTCGTTCTATCACTCTTGATATAGCCTTCTTTTAGTTGAGCAACACATGCAGCATTATCTTCGAACAATCTTGTCGGTTCTTTGTTAATGGCTATTCCACTTGCTTCTTGTATATGATGAGTCATAGATCTGAGCCATACACATTCTCTACATGCTTCATGAAGCGCAATAGTTTCTGCATAATTTGAAGAAGTGGCGACTAATGTCTGCTTTTGAGAACGCCAAGAGATTGCGGTTCCTCCAAACGTAAAAACATATCCAGTTTGCGATCTAGCTTTATGAGGATCTGATAAATAACCTGCATCTGCAAAACCGACTAAACCAAGTTTGGAGTTTCTAGGGTAAAACAATCCCAAGTCAATTGTTCCTTGAAGATAACGGAATATATGTTTTATTCCATTCCAATGTCTGCGCGTAGGAGACGAACTATATCTTGCCAGTAAATTTGTAGCAAATGCTATATCCGGTCGGGTACAATTTGCAAGATACATAAGTCCACCAATAGCGCTCATATAAGGTACTTCAGGACCTAATATTTCTTCGTTATCTTCACAAGGTCGAAACGGATCTTTTTTCGTATCGAGAGATCGATTAACCATTGGAGTACTCAAAGGAGTCGCTTTATCCATACAAAAGCGTTTTAATATCCTTTTAGTATAATTTGATTGATGTATGAATACTCCATCTCGGAAATGCTCTATTTGTAATCCAAGACAAAATTTTGTCTTTCCGAGATCTTTCATTTCGAACTCTTCTTTCATATGAGTTCTTGCATCATCAATCTCTTTTTGAGTTCCAATAATGTTCAGGTCATCCACATAAACAGCAATGATCACGAATCCTGACGAAGATTTCTTAATAAAAACGCAAGGGCAGATTGCATTATTCACATACCCTTTCTTTAGTAAATATTCGCTTAAGCGATTATACCACATGCGTCCGGATTGTTTTAATCCGTAAAGTGATCGCTGTAACTTGACTGAACATATTTCTTTCGATTTGGAACTTAATGCTTCAGGCATTTTCAATCCTTCAGGGATTTTCATATAGATATCATTATCAAGTGATCCATATAAATATGCTGTCACAACATCCATAAGATACATTTCAAGATTTTTGGATGCCGCAAGACTCATTAAGAATCTGAATGTAATTGCATCCATAACCGGAGAATAAGTTTCTTCATAATCAATTCCCGGTCTTTGAGAAAATCCTTGGGCGACAAGTCGGGCTTTATATCTTGTCACCTCATTTTTTTCATTTCTTTTTCTCACAAAAACCCATTTGTACCCAACCGGCTGTACATCTTTAGGTGTTGTAACAATCGGTCCAAAAACTTTCCTTTTATTAAGGGAGATCAATTCAGTTTCTACGGCCATTTTCCATTTCTCCCAATCAGATCTTTTCTGGCATTCTAATATGGATCTTGGATCTGGATCATCAATTTCATATTCAATTTCTTTGCATACAGAGAATGAAAATATTCCATCATTATCTTCTATTTCATCTCTAGCCCATAATATCCCATCTTGGGCATAATTGATGGAAATCTCATGATTTTCTTCGTCATTTTCGTCTTCAAGACCTTTCTCTGTATGTGGTTCTTCTGGACCATTTTCATTTTGTTTTCCCAATTTCTTTTTCTTTCGGGGATTTTTATCCTTTGATCCAATCGGCCTCCCCCTCTTTAACTGAACTTTGGGTTCATTTGCTATTTTTCCATCATTTTGTTCTTCCGGAACATTAATTCTCGATGGAACATTTGCAGCGGGTATATATGACTTTGTCACCCTTTTCGTATCTGTGAATGCATCTGGTATTTCATTTGCCATATTTTGTAAATGAACAATTTTCTGAACTTCGAGTTCACGTTGTTTCGTAGGGGGATCAAGGTGCAACAAAGATGGTGTGCACCATGTAACATCTTTTGGAACTTCTTTAATTCCTCCCCCTAACGCTGGAAATTCATCTTCATTAAAATGGCAATCGGCAAAACGTGCCGTAAACATATCACCAGTTTGCGGTTCAAGATACCTAATTATACTTGGTGACGTATAACCGATATATATTCCCAATCTTCTTTGCGGCCCCATTTTTAATCTTTGTGGCGGGGCTATCGGAACATAAACCGCACACCCGAACACACGCAGGTAGGATACATTTGGCTCCTGGCCAGATGCTAATTGTATTGGGGAATATTTATTATATGAACTCGGTCTTATCTGAAGCAATGCCGCTGCATGCAAGATAGCATGACCCCATACTGAAATTGGGAGCTTTGTTCTCAATATTAACGGTCTAGCAATGAGTTGTAACCGTTTAATCAATGACTCAGCCATGCCGTTTTGTGTATGAACATGTGCAACAGGATGTTCAACATCAATTCCCAATGACATACAATAATCATTAAAAGCTTGGGAAGTGAATTCACCAGCGTTATCAAGTCTTACTTTCTTTATCATATAATCAGGGAACTGTGCTCTCAACCTGATTATTTGGGCAATGAATTTTGCGAAAGCCGTATTATGTGTTGTCAATAAACACACATGTGACCATCTACTGGATGCGTCAATTAATACCATAAAATATCGAAATGGCCCGCATTGTGGGTGAATAGGCCCACATATATCACCATGTATTCTCTCTAGGAATACTGGAGATTCATTCCCGATTTTAGCTGGTGATGGCCGAGTTATAAGTTTTCCTTGAGAACAAGCATTACACATAAATTCTCCCGATTGAAAAATCTTCTGGTTTTTCAACGGATGGCCATTAGAATTTTCCACAATTCTCCGCATCATGACTGAACCAGGGTGCCCTAATCGTTCATGCCAGATTTTAAATGCACTTGTAAACTTCGGGTTTACAGTAACATATGATTCAGTCATATTTATCTTTGTGGAATATATTCCGGAGGATAATGCTGGTAATATTTCCAGTACAACTTTTCTCTCCGAAATAACTGATGTAATGCAAAGATATTCAATGCCGTTCTTATTCATAGTTTCTATGTGATATCCATTTCTGCGGATATCTTTGAAACTTAACAAATTTCTGTAAGATCCAGGGGAATATAACGCATCATTTATTTCAAACTTTGTTCCCCTTGGCATTGAAAAACTGACTCTTCCGGAGCCCATAATAATTTTTGCATTACCAGATATTGTATTCACGCTTCCAGCGGAATCTTTCATATTTAGAGAGGAGAAATATTTTTTATCTTTTAATATTGTGTGCGTTGTCGCACTATCTGCCAGACATATATCTCCATCCTTGATCTTAATCTCTGACATTTTCTGAATTCAAGATATTTATAAAAGATAAATTAATATAGCAAACAAAAGAGTCTATATTATAATAAAAACCTTTTTACAACAAAAGATACATTTTTTTAAACATTATATTTTACATTTTTATTTGTCACACTATGTATACATCATGTCACATCTTCTTCTTCGAGAAGATTTTACTCGTTTTATTTTTCGTTAATATCTTCGGGATCAACGATGAAATCAGATATATCGAGATTTGTATCATCGTTTATACCATCAAACGAAAAACTGGATTCACCATGGATGAAGTTGGTTTCACTTTCTTTTCCTTTCGCCTTTTGCGATTCTTGGTACAGATCGGCTAAATGTTTTGGCGTACGACAAGTACGAACCCAATGTCCTTTCATGCCGCATCTGTAGCAAGCACTCTCATGTTGCTTGCGACCAACTTCATTACCCTTGAACTTTTTGTTATTTCTTCCATCGTTTAAATCAGCAGGACGGAATCTTCTTCCTCGTCCACGACCTCGACCACGTCCAAAACCTCGTCCACGACCACGATCATTTCCGCGACCGCGTCCACGTCCACTTTGCCAATTTTCATGGCTTGACGATGCAACATTCACTTCTGGGAATGAAGCTGATCCAGTTGGACGAGATTGATGGTTTAAAATCACGAGTTCATTATTTTGTTCTGCCACCAAGAGAACTTGCATTAACTCCGAATACTTTGTATCCGTTTGCCCGGTACTGTTGCTGCAGGACTACGTTTCCAGGATGAAATGTTGAGAGAGTTTTCTCAATCATATCATGATCACTTATATTTTCTCCACACAACATTATCCTGGAAGTGATTCCAAATAGAGCGGAGTTATACTCACTAACGCTCTTATAGTCTTGGAACCGGAGGTTCAACCACTCATGTCTAGCCTTTGGTAAGATCACATATTTCTGGTGATCAAACCTATCTTGGAGTGATTGCCAAAGATCTGCAGGATCTTCTTTCGTGATATATTCATCTTTTAAACCATCATGGATATGGTGGAATAAAAAGATCATGGCTTTCGCCTTTTTCTCTTCAGGAACTGTTTTTGTTTTATCGATGGTATCAAGGAGCTCATTTCCTTTTAAATGCATCCTTGCAGCTACTGCCCATCTCATATAATTTCTTCCAGAAATATCAAGGGCAGTAATCTCGAGTTTTGTCAAATTCGACATGATAACTGTTATCAATACAACAATTTATAAATTTCAGTTTCAAAAATTCTGATTTTAATAAAACATGATAAAATTTTAGAATTCATAAACGTAATAAAAACTGAATTTAAAATACTGAATTTAAAGTAATAATAAACAGAAATTAAATAACAGTAATTAACAGAATTTAAAGAACAATAATTAAAATAAATATTCGTCTTCTGGACGAAATTAATTATGCAGTTCTTCAGAAACGCTTTTATATATCTTCTGGATATATATTTTTTTATATAGTTCTTCTGGAACTATTCTTTTTCATATGTCTTCTGGACATATTTTTCTTTCAAGTATGTCTTCTAGACATAACATGTTTTTCTTAGTTCTTCAAAAACTTTTCTTAAATGTCTTCTGGACATTTATTATATGGAGGTAATGATCTGAGGAGTCAACTACCATATGATCATAAACCAACCATATATTTGATCTGAGGAGACATAGTCTACCATATGATCATGATCGTAAAGGCATAGCCTCCATGACGATCGGTTCGGAGAAGGCATCGCCTATCATCCCGACCATAGAATATAAACATAAAAGTAGATGGATTGATCATAAATTAAACCTCACCTTTTCGGTATAGGAACGGTATAAGAACGGTTCGTGCTGATAACGTTTTATGTATTATATAAAATAAGTGAGTATATGTATGTTTATATGTATATATATATTATTTAATTTGAAAGAGAAGGAAGTGAGAAAGGGACGAGAGGTAAGTGGGAGAGAGAAGATTGATGAAGAGTGTTTCTTATTTCACTCGTCTGAAAGTTGATTTCTTTACATAACATGAAGGTCTATTTATAGACCAAGAGAAAACTTATAATAATAAAAGTAAGTCGGTAAGAGTAAATATCTAAAAATATAAGACGGTGAAAAAGTGATGAGGATAATTATCCTTTTTAACATTATTATATTTAATTAAAGAACTATTACAAGATCAAATTTTCAACTAACAAATTATTTGTTCTATTTGAATCCACACATACTGGAATCACAACAGATAGTTTTTTTGCACCATGCTGAAATTTTTTTTATAAGTTTGTTTTCATTAGTAACCTGCAGAAATCACATTTTCTGGAAATTGAGAACAAGTTTATAAGAACCTCCAAATATAAAAGTATTAATTAATATTTAGTCGAAAAGACTTCTACTCCATTGGTCAATTTAATTTATGTTTTCTTTAGAGTATCTTTATTGGTGAAATACTCTTTCAAAACTCTCATCAATGTACTATTAATATTTTTAATGTTATTTAATTGTATGATTAGCTAGTAAGTTATATATAAAATTTTTACCATTCATGGGAAGACAATCCAGGTGCTCTTTATAAAATGATTTCTCTAATTTTGTTAAACATCAAATTTAGATTAATTGTATTAATTTAAATTTTACTATTTTGATCCTTAAGTGTAGTTTAGACCAAGACTAATTCTTTGATTGCTATGATTTTTGTTTTTTGAACTGAATGTAAAGTTTATTAAAAAAAAAACACTTTTTACAGTGAATGCATCTTTTGTTTGAATGACCTAGAAAGAGATTTTTACATCAGTTTAATCTCTAAGGGCCTAGAAAGGTCGAGAGCCAAACCATACGATCATACCCTCATCATATGTGGTGTACCCCGTATTCCTAATAGAGCTGATGCGGGTTCTGACGTTATTAACAACTAATTTGATGAGGATAGATGATGAGCTTTTCGGACTAATTTGATTGCTATGATTTTGTTTTTCTATTTTCTTACTTCATTTATCAATTATAAAATCTACAAAAGCTGACAAAGTATGTATTTCTGAATATCAACTTGTGTTATTAGATGTATCGATGAAGGTATTTATACAACTTTGGAGCAAAACCTAAACCCAATAGAATAGGAAAACTTAGAGAATAGGAAAATATCCTAACTAGATTTAAGTATATCGGATATATGGAGAATATATCCCAATACCCCCCTCAAGGTGGAGCATAGAAGTTTTGAATGCCCACCTTGGACAAAAAAATATCAAATTCCTTGCGACCGAGAGCCTTAGTAAGAATATCCGCCAACTGGTCCTTTGTAGAAACATGAAAGGGTTTGAGAACACCTTTGGCGATCTCATCACGGATAAAATGACATTCGGTCTCCACATGTTTAGTGCGTTCATGAAACACCGGATTGTTGCTCAGATGAATAGCTGGCTGACTATCACACCTAAGAGTCATAGGATCACGGTGATCATAACCCATCTCGCGAAGAAGAGCTTTGAGCCACAGCAACTCCTTGGTGATCGCCCCCATTGCTCGATATTCTGCTTCAGTAGAAGACACAGACACAGTTTCCTGTTTCTTTGTCTTCCAAGAAATTGGAGAAGAGCCCAGTTGAACCAGCCAACCTGTAAGTGAACGTCTTGTTAAAGGACAAGCAGCATAATCAGAATCACACCAACCCGTCAAATGCAAAGGAGAATCTGCACGAAGAAGAATTCCTTGACCAAGAGTTCCCTTTAAATATCGAACCGTTTTAACCGCAGCAAGCCAGTGATCTTCTTGAGGAGAGTGCATAAATTGAGATAAGATATGAACTGCATAAGCCAGGTCAGGTCTGGTAGCCAAAAGATAGATAAGACGACCCACAAGACGTCGATATCGATCCGGATCAGCAAGCAATCGTCCGTGTGCTCTTCCAAGATGATGATTTTGGTCGATAGGAGAACCAACAGGTTTGCATCCAAGAAGACCAGCTTCGGCTACGATGTCCGTCGCAAACTTGCGTTGACATAAATAAAATCCAGTCGGACTTCGAGCAACTTCTATGCCCAAGAAGTATTTAAGAAAACCAAGGTCCTTCATATAAAAGCAAGTCGAGAGATAGTCTTTAAAAGTCTGTATAACCGCAGGGTCATCTCCAGAAATGATCAAGTCATCTACATAGACAAGGATACGAAGAGAGGCTCCATGTTTGGAATAAACAAACAAAGAATAGTCGGAGCGAGTTTGTACGAACCCATATTTGAGAAGAGCATCTGCCAGTTTAGCAAACCAACAACGAGGCGCCTGTTTCAAGCCATACAAAGATTTCCGCAGACGGCAGACACGAGTTTCTCCAGAAGAAGCATAACCTTGCGGAAGTTTCATATAAACCACATCCTGTAAATCACCGTGTAGGAACGCATTATGCATGTCCATTTGATGAACTTCATGATTATTCTTGGCCGCATAATCCAGAAAAACTCGTACAGTCGTCATCTTCGCAACAGGAGAAAAGGTCTCAGTGTAATCCTCTCCCTCTTTCTGATTATTTCCCAAAACCACAAGACGTGCTTTATGGCGTTCAATAGTGCCGTCAGAGCGATATTTAATCGTAAATACCCATTTACTGCCAAGAGCCCTCTTATTGGGAGGAAGATCTTCAAGATCCCATGTATGGTTTCGATCAAGAGCTTTGTACTCAGAACAAACCGCTTCTTTCCAAACATCTCCTAACATAGCCTCGCGAAAAGAACGAGGTTCGACAGAAGCCGTAATCGATGCAAGAAAGCTGCGATGTTTAGAAGATAATTTGTCATAAGAGATAAAGTCAGAGAGAGGGTAAAGCGAACATGAAGACAACTGAGGAGAAGGTGAAGGAGCGAGAGAGAGAGAAGAGTCAATGGTGACGGAGTTCATAATAAAGCCATGCAACCGAGTAGACCGTTGCTTGACACGATGACCACGTCCTAATTCTTCAATAACCTCGTCCTCAATATCATCTCTAGTGTTAGTATCATCAGCTACGTGTGCAGGAATAGGCTCTGGTGAAAGAGGTTCAGGGGCAGCAATTTCATCAGGCAGCTGACCAATAATGGTGAGAGACACATCGTCGTCATCCTCAACCGAAGCAACAGGTAAAGAAGACGACGGTAACGCATCAACAGCTTGAATCGGCTCAGTAGCCGTTGCAAAGGGAAACTGATCCTCACAAAAAACCACATCCCGAGATGAAAATGTGACTTCCTTGTCAAGATCATAAAGCATCCAGCCTTTCTTGCCAGCAGGATAACCTAAAAACATACAACGACGGCTCCGAGGGGCAAATTTATCACCCTTATGATTCAAATTATGAGCATATGCGAGACACCCAAAGACACGCAGATGATTAATGGATGGAGCACGACCACACAGCTTTTCAAACGGAGTTTTACCACCAAGAAGTTGTGAAGGAGTCCGATTCATGAGATACACAGCCGTTTTGACACATTCACCCCAATACTCAACTGGTAAATGAGCTTGAAAGCGTAATGCCCTTGCAACATTCAGAATATGGCGATGCTTGCGTTCAACGCGGCCATTCTGCTGTGGAGTGTGAACACACGAGGTCTCATGAATCATTCCTTGTTCTTGAAAAAATCGGGAAAGACAAAGAAACTCGGTGCCATTATCGCTCCGTATGGTTTTGACTTTCTTAGAGAATTGTGTATTCACTAAAGCCAAAAAATCTCTTATATGTCGTGAAACTACAGTTTTATCTGGTAGAAGATAAATCCACACTGCGCGCGAGCAATCATCAACGATAGTTAAAAAATAACGAGATCCACAAAAAGCTGTTGTGCAATAAGGACCCCATAAATCACAATGGATTAAATCAAAAACTGCATTAGCTGTATTCAAACTATCCGGAAAACATTGACGAGTTTGTTTAGCACGGAAGCAAACATCACAATTCTTAAATAAAAGCTCACTACTACTACTAACACCACGAACATCCGGAAGCAAACCGATCACACGAGAAGATGGATGACCTAAGCGATGATGCCATAAAACAGAAGTATCTTGAACTTGAGTATGCAATGACGTCAAAGCCTCAACGCCACAAAAGGTATACAGACCCTCTCTCTCTCTTTCACCCGCTCCAATCAGCGTCCTCGTAGTGCGGTCCTGCAAAATCAATAGCTTATCAGTGATTTGTCCCACCAAGTGATTGTCAGTGACCAATTGACCAAACGATATCA